TAAGGATAATGTTAGCATCGCTCTAATCACATCTCACATGGCTTTAACCTGGGCAAGGGGGGAGTTCTTAATCTAGGGTCTACAACTCCCTGAAATTGTGTGTAAAAATTTTTCTCAGAGCCCTTAGCTTTCACCAGATCCTCAAATTAAGATTCGTTGTAGCTTATTTTGAAGGTTATTGTGTTATTTATACTCTGGTTCCCAGTGATGGATTGTATATGTGCTATGAATGGATAGTTGACTCCCGAACTGCTCACCCTGTTCCAAAATTATTGCTGATGTTATACAGATTTATTTTTTCAAGAGGAGGGTCAGGCCACTTGTAATTAGTAGGAGAAATTCAGCTTAAATTTTCACTTGATTGAAAGTCATAAATGCACGGAGAGATTATCAACCTAAGAACTCTACACATTAAACATGAGTCCCGAATAGTCATGAAAACCAGTGATGCACAACATACAGTTGAAGTCATCTTTAACAAAATTAAATAATGATCAATTAGCAAATCTCAAAACAGTTATATTGCTAAGTATTATTAACTGTTGTGTGAAGAGAGATTTGTACTTATTTTACAAATGACTATCAGTAAGAACAGCCACTCTAAATTCATATTAAACACCCATACTATATCTTTTAACAAATTAAAAGATTACTACATAAAATATGTAAGAACAATTTTTTGTTACCTTAATCAACTTCTTAGCAGTATCCCACACGGTTGAACGTAAAGCCATCTTTTGGTTTTCTTTCCTGGTGCGCCACGCCTTCCAGTCTAGTCCTACCATTCTTCAGAGGTTCTAACTGCCTTGGGCCTTTCTAAGCCATCTCATTCATTCCAACGGCTTTAAATGCTAAAACATGCCAACTCCCTCAATTTTCATTTCTAGTCCAAAGTACCTTTTGAACTCTATCCAGTATCTCCTCACATCTTTATTGGGATAAATCACTGGAATCTTCATGTCCAAGACTGAAATCTTGATTTTTCTCCAAAACGGGTCCCTTTTGGTCTTTCCCATTCTTAGCAAAACAGAATCACCTTCTACCCAGTAGGTCAAATCACAAACTTCGGAGAGTATTATGCAAAGATACATAGGACTGACAGCTGCCAGAGGGGAGGGAGATTGAGGGGCTGGGTAAAAATGTGAAGGAATTAAGCACAGAAACTAACCTCACAGGCACATTCAACAGTATGGTAGTTACCGGAGGAAGAAGCGTAGGGGAAGGTAGGAGAGAATAAAGGCGGGAGGATAAATGGTGACGGAAGGAGGCTTGACTTGGGGTGGTGAACACACAATATACAGACGATGGATTGTAGAATTGCACACCTGAAACCTATGTAATTTTATTAACCAATGTTACCCCAATAAATGAAAAATAAAAGAAGAAACCTCAGCATCAGTCCCGATTCCTTCTTTTGCGCCATGCCCTACATCCTGCTATTGCTTCCGCTCAACTGTATCGTCCCTGTAGTGAGAGCCACCGGGACCATTCCTGGGCACTGCATTCCAGCTGATCTGCATTCCACACAGAAACCAGAATTACATGTCAAAGCCCTCAGGTATACTGTATCTCCTTGCTTAAACCTCTCACTGGCTTCCCACCTCACTTGAGAGTGAAAACTCACTATCTTATCTTGGGCAAAAGGCCCTAGCAGGACCCAGGCCCCGGCCATTTCTCCCCTCCCCCACATTGGTCCTGGAGTCGCTGCAACGCTGCCTCGGGCCCTTCCCACCGCGGGCCCAGCTCGCCTGCCGCTCGCGTCCGAACACTCGCGCCCCCTCCCCCCCGCCCCGCCCCGCCCCGGTCACACGGTTAGTTTCTTCGAGTCATCAGGTCCCAGCTGTCACTTCCTCAGACAATCCTTTTCTTATCACAGTAGATGTCTCTGTCATACTCCGTTATTCTTTTTTTAATCCTCACCCAAAGATATGTTTATTGATTTTAAAGGAAGAGAGAAAAGGAAATCGAACCTGCAAACTTTCGGTGTGCGGGATGACACTCCAGCCAACCGAGCCCCCCGGCCAGGGCTCCATTACTGTTCACAGTGCCCTGCGCATCCCCGTTCCTCTCTCTGTTTACCCCGGTGCACTCTGTAGCTGGGCTGGGAAGGCAGGCATAGTCAGCACTGGATCCAGCAAATCCGGCCCAGTGAGCCATTGCAGCAGCACTCTTACCTTAATGTCCCCCCGTTAGTTTTCCTGTCTATGCGTATTTACAATTGTTTTATTTTGGTTTTCCTTGACTTAAAAAAAAAAAAAGACACATTCGAATATATTCTCTCTTCAGGTAATTAATGTCAGACTCACTTCCCAACCCCCTAACAAGGGCGTTTTAGCTATTTCATCAACTACTGAGTGGTTACTAAGTCCTATATTCCTATTCCCTCAGGCCTCTTCTTGATATGCATACATAATATATTTAAACTGTCTGTGAGTGGGAAGTTAATCATTATTTTCTTAGCATACTTAGTGAAACTTTTCTATGAACCAAGACAACGTGTGACTAAAACAATAACATTATTAAATAGGAAATCTGTCTTTAAAATGACTAAAAATGGGCTCATTCAGTGCAGACCTGGTACCTCTTTAGTGAAGCACCAGTGAGGAGACTGGCACTTGCCATGGCCAATGCAAAGCCCAAGGAAGGAGTCAGCACAGAACCACCATGAATGATCTGAAGGTGGTGGGGCAGGAAGGCTCTGTAGTGCAGCTTAAGGTTAAGTAGCATCGCCATTTAGTAAACTAATGAAAGGAGTGGTGAATGACAGGTTCTGTTGATGAGGCAGACCAGATTCCAATTTGAGGAGCCGTCAGTCAATGAAAAAGACACACCCACGAGTTGGAAATCAAGGATGACGACACAATGGATGTGTTCCAGCAGCAGGCAGCAGGCAGCAGGGGTCCACTAAAAAGGAACCTGCTACTTTACTTCAGAGCTCTGTTCCTCCACAGCAAGAAGACATCCTCAAATAAAAAAATGAAATCTGGTTGCACCACATCCTGATGACTATAGTTTTCTCTTTCATTTTCCCCTTCCCATTCCTTTATTGTACACAAAGTAGCTGATGTATCTGCACAAGCATTTGCATTTTTTTAACCAAATGTTTTTGAACAGCAAAAGGAGATGCGCTGGGGAAAACTGCTGGTTCTGTGAAAATAAATATCGTTTCTTCATTAGAGGAAGCTCATTCAGCTCTTATTTTATATTTCACTATGTTACTCTGCTCTCACTGTTCAACAAAAAAAGAGCATAAAAATCCTTACCTACCTTGTTTGATTGGAGAATTTTAATCTTTTTCATTTGTCATTGTGAAACCAAGGATAATTTCATAACTTTTTTGTCTGTAGTTGTTACATGCAAGGCAACCTGTCTTTAAGCAGGGATAAATTACTCTAAAAGAAATTAATCTTAGTTTTCTTTTCAAATCAAGTGCCTTGTTTTATTTTTAAAAAGATTTTATTTATTTTTAGAGAGGGAGGAGAGGAAGGAGAAATAGAGTGAGAGAAACATCCATCAGTTCCTCCTCACAAGCCCCCCAGTTGGGGACCTGGCTCACAACCCAGGCATGTGCCTGACTGGGAATCAAACCCATGACCTTTTTGGTTCACAGGCCAGCACTCAGTTACTGAGCCACACCAGCCAGGGCCATGAATTTATACTTGTATTTAAAAATTCTTTTTCAAAAATTGTATTATTAAAATAATAATTTACCCTGGTTGAAACATAGCTGTAAAAAATATTAGGCTAAAAAACCCTTAGAGAAAATCATTAGACTAAAAGTTCTTTTGTGGTTCTGATTCTGATCCATGTTTTGGACAAGTCTTAACTTTTCTTGTCAACAGTTTTCTCCTGTGTTAAAAAAAAAGAAAAAGAAGGAGAAAGGAAAGAAGAGGGGGAGGGAGGGAGATAAGAATGGAGAGAGAAAGAAAAAGGCACTGGCCTGAATGATCTCTCAAGTCCCTTTCCACTAAAAATTTTCTTGATTCTAAGGAGACCTTGCCTTTAATAATTACACAGAGGTCTGTAGAGCAAAATGGTAACAATAGCTACCACTGTTGAGGGCTCCTTTTGTGTGATGCACTATATTAAAAGATTTACATGGTTTTCTCATTTAATAGATGCAGGTACTAATGATTATCATTGTCTCATTTTACAGGTAAGAAAAGAAACTGAACCTCAAAAAACAGTCATAAGGTTTCTGTTTGTTTTTTTGGACACAATCCTCAATTACCAAGAGGAGAAATAGCTGAGTGGACAGAAAGCGCACATGGAAGTGAAACTCTCTAAAGCAAAATTTTTGGGCAAAGTCCGCTGTACCAGAGGCCCATGTTACACGTGACTTCCTGCAGGACAAAGTAAACATGTTTATTCCAACATGTCAAATCATCAGGTGTAATGTCTCTTCCAAAGACAGGATTTCAGGAACAGGCAAAGGAATAACACAGGTATTCACTTTCAAAATACAGCACAAACCTGATGCGCTTCAAAGAAAGAATACATAATGCCAATAAAACAAAAGGATAATTCAAAACTAATCTTCAGATGGTCATAAGTGGTATTTGAATTTAGGAGTGTATTTTCTGTATGTTATCCTATATTTAATATTAACATCAGAATAGTCAACTAAAATTAAATACAGTAGAGGAAACAATATGCAAAAATCACATTTTTAAATGTAAAGTATGTAGTGAACTCAATAATTTCCCTAAGAAAATTATTGCAAAAATTTAATTAGTTTTACACCATGAATTGTACTGTTTATGAAATATCTGCCAAATTTTGCTTGATTCTTTTTATTATCTATAGCTTGAATTTTTTTCAGCTAGTATCAATACATTTACTTTTTTTTTGACTGGTAAAATACCACCTTGGCAAAGCCAGTTTCCAGAGTTAAGCTTAAATCCATTCATAGCAAAAGAAAAACAAAATCCCTCCACTATGAACTAACAGACACCAGGGAGCGGTTGAAAAAAAACACGACGGAAGAACTTGATCTTTGTATTTTGTATTCAAAACACTAACATCAAGTGATTGCAACTGAGACACCATACAGAAAGCTAGAGTTTTGAGATAGTCAAAAAAGAAACACTTCATCATTATACGCAATCTGACTTCACTGTACAAAAAAGGCAAGTCTGCCTCACTTCTCTCCATATCTTCCTTGGGCAGCATATTTGTTTCCTGTGCTAAGAAACCTCTCTCCAACTAGTAACATATTCTTTGATACCATGCTAAATAGATAACCTGGGCAACTATTATATGTTTCTTCAAATTGCTTTGTGATGTAAAACAAGTAAAGAGCACTTAGCAGAGTGTCTTGCATATAGTCAGTGCTGAGTTAGTAAGGTATCAGCAGTACCATCATCATCATCATCATCATCATCATCATCATCATCAATTAGGCCACTGATGAACAATTACTAAAAGAGTGGCCTAAGAAAGTGAATCTGCCTCCCAACAATTCCATTATTTTTCTAAAAGATTTTTTAAAAATTATTTTGAGAGAGAGGGGAAGGGAGGGAGAAAAAGAGGGAGAGAAACATAGATGTGCAAGAGCGACAACTGGTTGCCTCTTGCACACCCCACAGCCAGGGAGCTGGCCGGCACCCCAGGCATGTCCCCTGACCGGGAATTGAGCCGGCGACCTTTCAGGATGACGCCCAATGTGCTGAGCCACACCAGTCAGGGCCCAGTATTTTTTAAAAAGGCCAAATTCTAATTAAATCTGTGATCATTTTAGTAATATAGAGGATTGGGCAAAAGTAGGTTTACAGTTGTTCATATGGAAAAATAATACAATAATAAATAAATAATGCAAAAAACCAACTGGGTTTTGCATACTCACAACTGTAAATCTACTTTTGCCCTACCCTGCATATTAAGGTGGTTGTAATATATTGAAATTTTCAAAGTTATTTCACTTTGAGAAGTCTGTATTCTTTTAGCTATACCCAAACTGAAGCTAAACTGATAGAAAGATTATATGAAAATCCTCCAAGTAGGAAAAACATTTTCTATAGTAATATGAAGTTCTATTTTTTTCAATGGAAAAGGAGTGATTAGGAAAGAATCCACTTCTGTATAACAAATATAAATTTGCCCATCTACCTGATAGGTATAAAAATAGTACAGGTAAACATAGATATATCTAAATAGACTGAGCCAAAAGAGAAAGGTATTTTTCATAGAAAGTATTTTACCATCAGAACAGTATGGTTTCCTATGTTTAAGATCTATTTATTATGTTATTTTTACAAGTAGCAAAGTCCCTTGTTTTTTCCCATCTTAAGATACATGAATATAAAAAGCTGTTGATTTCCACATTGCCCACCCCACCCCCATCCGACTGGGTTAACAGAAGTTCTGAACCACGAACAGTTTCCTGAAGGAGCAGTGGTTTCTTCCTTAACTCAGCCTTGAACTCTAGCACTCCCTTCAGTCGTCCTCTTGCTGATTTCTTTTCTGTCAAAGGAAACCAAGACCACATTAAAACAGCACATTCTAACTGGCATGTTTGTTCAGCCAAGATCACTTGTTCTGTCAGCAAGTATCATTTTCTAGAGGCCTTGGCAAAAGATGTGGGTGAAAATTATCATGGAAAGACATGCCAGAATTTATTTACTCAACTAGTTTATCACTTTAATTCCAGGATATGTTATCCTTAGGTATTTGACTATGGTCTGCTCTCTCTTCCGCATGTACAACCATTCCACACATACACACAAATACAAATATTCACTTTCTCCCTGAGTGATCACAGGACAACTCTGATCTTCGCTTAGCCTGTAACAGTATACACACCTTCTTTAAAATTAGAAGTACTGAAAATTATTCAAAAAGCATGCATATCATAAAAACATTTTTGCTATTCTAATTATTAAATAGGTTATTCCTTAAGCTCACATTACATACTTCATTATAAAATGACCTAACTCAGTAATTCTGCTCCTTTAGTGTAAGACTGAAATAAAATATTAAATAGACAATTTGAAAACAAAGATGACCGGCATACTAAGTATACACAGACTTTACCAGTTTAAGGAAATCGATGAGTTTATGAGCATCTTCCCCAGTAGAGAGGTCTACAAAGTCCTTGGGCAGCCGATAACTCAGGTAGGGACTGGGCTGGACTGTAACTTCACTGTTTGTACAGCGGAAAGCTGGAGAATCCTTTAAAAAAACACGAAAGGAAAGTCTGTGAGAAATTTTAAGTCACTTCTCCAAAATGAAAAAGATTCTACCATAACAGTTTCAACTCCAGGTTCTCTCATCTACTAGTTAAGGAAGAAAAAAGATTCTAAAGTAAAAGAAAGCACAAAGACTGTAAAATATTCCTGCTAGTTACTACAGCATAAACATAAGGTATCTGAAAAGTACCCTCCTGGAGATCTAGGCTGCTCCCTAAATGCTCCCTGTGTGCAGCCCCTGTGGGCTACCAGTGCGGTATGTATCTCTTTAGTCCCAGAGTGGGTCAGAGGCTTCAGGCTGGTTATCTCTGGCCTCGAGCAATCTCATACAGGCCAGAATGCTTTATAAATATTATCATTTTCTTCAGGTGCACAGTTAGGAAACCCTCCCTTACCAAATAAAGTTAATAGTGAGGACAAGTGAGTGTTTCGAATTCCTAACACTTTTGTACTTCTTTTACATCATTTAACTTACTCATTTGTGTATCTGTCTTATCACCTATGTGAAACTGCAAATTCGAGTTATCATACTGAACAAGTCTGCACATTCTTTGATGCACAGCTGATCCTCGACAACAGGGGGCTTAGAAAATCCCCTCTAACTGGAGTTGCTTTCACCACATGCAGATCCCAACCGCAGAGCTTGGGCAATGTGGATTTTAACTGCATGGATCAACTGGAAAAATATCCAAGAATAAGTAGATGCATGCAGTTCAAACCCATGTTGTTCAAGAGTCAACTGTACTTGTTTAGAGCCTGCATATAATATTTATGTGCTGCCTTGTGACAAAAAGGATTTCAGAGACAGAAGGCCTTGGGTCTGGACTTCAAGGGTGGCAGCTATCTAGCTAACGGACAGAAGTGTCCATCTGCCTTTCTCTAGGTATGAGAGATAGTAAACTGACAAACAAGACAAGTAGACAGCCAATAAGCAAGCAAAGTAACAAGATTATTTCAGATAGTAACAAGTGTTATAAAAAACAGAATCAGGCTGCTATCATAAGAGAACCAGGTAGGCAACTTTAGAGGGGCGGTCAGGGAAGACCTTGCTAAAGAAGAGATGTCTGGACTGAAAGCTGTAGTTTGATAAAAGCTGCCCCGTGAGGTCCGGCAGCAGAACACAGCTTTGAAGGCAGTGAGGCAACCTGTGCAGAGATGCGAAGGCAGGGCCGGGCTCTGAGCTTCAAGAAACAGAAGGACGGCCAGGTTTTGGTGGCGTGGAAACAGGCAAGAGGTGACACTGGGGAAAAGGTGAGAGCCAGTTCCTGTTTCCCTTTGTCAGCCCCCAACTTCCAATAGAATGTTGTTTAAATTAAGAGGAAAAAAGAAAGAAGGAACAAAAGAGAAAGAGAAGGAAAAAAAGGAAAGATCTGATCATATTATTTGGATCATAGATTGAATCTTATACCAACTGTTTCTACTGAGTAACGGTGTCCCTCATATTTACATTCTTCTCCTTGACACTCAGATTTAAAGGCCCACAACTGTAAGATGCCAACAGGGATGAAATTCCTTCTCTCACTAAGGTGATACACATTAGTCGTGCCTGGCAGGAGAACAAGAGACACTACTCCTGTGCTCAGCAGTGTGCAGGCTAAAGCACGACATGCAAGTCAGCCAGCGGGCACCACACTGTGGGCAAGGACCCCAAGAGGGAAAACATCGAGTTGAGTCATCAGATCTAAAGAAACAGAGCCAAAAATGGCCCAAGACAGAGGAATGATGAAAAAAAATATTTCAGAGATGGACAAAAGGAAAGATGGTCACACTGAAGGCCAGGTAGCAGCCAGCAGGGCAGGAAGAAGCCCAGGAGAGGAGCATATGCTACAGAAGCCAGGGGAAAAGGTGTTCTAAGAACAAGAAGGTAACATGTTCAAATGGTGCCAGGTGGTTGGGTGAGAGAAGGGCGTATTGTTCACTGGAATTAGCAACAAGTCAGGAGAGCCCTTGCTAAGAGCAGTTTATGTGGGACTGATGTTAAGAGGGCTGAAGAGTGACTGGTGAGACAGGTGGGAAGCAGCAGGCAGTACGGACAGACAGCCGTGTGATGGTATACAACTACTAAGCAGTTATAAAAAGCAAGCTACATAACAGCATGAGAGAAATTAGCATGATCCCACTTATGTGAAAATGTGTGATGTATCCACATACACAAAAAAGTGTCTGGACACTTCTCCAGGAAGGACATGCAGAGGGCTCAGCATATGAAACATACAAAAGGATGCTCAGCATCACTAGCCATCAGAGAGATGCAAATAAAAACCACAATGAGATACCACTTCACACTGGTCAGAATGGCCATCATAAACAAATCAACAAACAACAAGTGCTGGTGAGGTTGTGGAGAAAAGGGAACCCTAATGCACTGTTGGTTGGGAATGCAGACTGGTGTAGCCACTGTGGAAAACAGTTCGGAATTTCCTCAAAAAGCTAAAATTAAACTGTCTTTTGACCCAGCAATTCCACTGGGAATCCCGAAACACCAATTCAAAAGAACCTATGCACCCCAATGTTCATAGCAGCACAGTTTACAATAGCCAAGCGCTGGAAGCAACCTAAGTGCCCATCAGTAAATGAGTGAATCAAAAAACTATGGTACATTTACACAATGGAATACTACACAGCAGAAAGAAAGAAAGAGCTCCTACCCGTCACAACAGCATGGATGGATCTGGAGAGCATTATGCTAAGCGAAATAAACCAGGGGGCGAAAGACAAATGCCATATGATCTCACTTATAAGTGGGACCTAATCAACAAAACAAACAAGCACGGAATATATAACCAGCAACATTGAAAGAAAAAAGAAACCAACAGAAACGAGAGGGAAGGAACGAGGGGGTTAATGGGGAAAGAAAGGGGAAGGGGAAAGGTACAATCAAGGAACATGTATGAAGGACACATAGACAAAGCCAAAGTGGGGAAGGATTGAGGGAGAGAGGTGGGGGAGCAGGGGGAAGTGGTGGCGGGTAAATGGAGACAAATGTATTTAAACAATAAAAAGAAAAAAAATGTCTAGAAAAAATATAAACTTAAGTGGTAAGGATGGCTATTTCTAGGTTGTAGGATTTCCAGTCTTGCCTCTTTCTAATTCTCTTTTTTAAATGACCACGTTTAAAAACAAAACAAAAAAGAAAACCTTATTTTAAAAACGATGTAAAACATTCACAAGATATTATTAAATGAAAAATGTGGAATGTATAAGTTCATACATAGTATAATCTCATTCATTTAAACAAGTTTATTTGTAATGTGGAAAGGCAAGTTACTATTAAAATATAAGCAGTGGCTCTCAAGGCAGTAAGATTATGGGCAATTTTAGAATTTTCTTTAAAAATGAGCTTATAGTGTTTTTGTGGGCAGAAGGAAGCTTTACAAAGTTGATGCTGAAAGTCTGGCTGTGAACATGAGGAGAAAGGAGAGAGTAGCTGGGTGAAGATATGGGCTTAAAGATTTTGTCTTTTTAAGATGGGAGATACCTGAACATGGTTAACTACTGAGAGGTTGGAGCTGGCAGAGAGGAAGAGACCAGAAAAAAAGCAAAACAGGAAAGAAGATAAATGATAGCACAAGGTATACAGAGAGATGGGAAGGCATGGTTTGCTGGGCGGGTGGAAGTGAGACTTGGGACAGCTGCAGACAAGTTTGGAAGTTTGATGACAATGAAACAGTAAATTCTCACCAGCAGATTATCTTTTCCTTTGAGGAAGAATGCGAAATCTCTGCTGAGAAGAAAAGGGACAGAGCGGGTCGGAGGAGCGTGGAAAGGCATGAAATGGCCACACTGATGAGAGAGACAAGACACTGTAATGAGGGCCAGACTGAAGCGGGGGCCATGACTGCGGGGAGCCCCTGGTGTGAGCATCTGGGTTATTTGCCCTCTCACTGCCAGCAGCCCTGGGGCCAGGGTCAGAATAAGCCAAGGCGTGAGCTGACCCACCCACGCCGAGTTTCTTCCAGGTGGGCAGAAGACAAGGAGCCAAGAAAAAGGAAAAATTAACAGAAAAAATATATCAGATGGCCATTATTTTTTTATATGAAGTTAAATGAATGAATCACCATGCATACCCCTTTTTACTCACTTGCACAGGCAAGAATCTATTAGCAAGTTTGTTATACTCTATGCTTCCCAAGGGTACAAGTCAATGCCCAGCCAAGCACCTAGAAAACCAGCAATCATTGAGGGGATAGAAAGGTTTCCTTTATGTCTTTTTTTTTTTTTTTTTTTTTTAGCCATCTTACCTGCTCCAGAGCATCTCCTTCACTAAAATCACCTTTTAAGTTTCGTTCAGATATCAGTTCTTCCCAAGTAAACAGCAGTGAATCTGTGACTTCACCAAATGGATTAAAATCGATTAGCCACACCTTCCCCTGCAGGACAGAGCAAAATATTAAGAGGCACAGAATAAACACACTGAAACTCTATAATCTGTCTTATAAGGAAGATCATTTTCATATTATTTTACCCAAAAAGACAATCTTTAGAAATCTTGTAACATTTCAAAAGATAGTTAATTCCTCCAGATCCCACTGGAGAAAGCCCTCCAGGTTCCATCAAAAAAGGGCCACTTGTGTAAATCGAGTGGCACAGCATTATCTAAAGACCAGAACACCTGTAAATGGAAAAAGGCAGAGAAGAGACCTAGAAAAGAGAAGGCTGATGGACACATATTTCAACTCCTGCCTCGGATCACATAAGAATTTTAAGTCAAGCCCTGGCTGGTGTGGCTCAGTGGATTGAGAGCCAGCCTGCAAACCAAAGGGTCACCAGTTTGATTTCTAGTCAGGGCACATGCCGTAGACCAGGTCCCCAGTTGGAGGTGTGACCTTTGTTTCTCTTGCGCATTGATGTTTCTCTCCCTCTCTTTCATTTTCCCTTCCCCTCTCTCTAAACAAATACAATCTAATAAATAAATAAATAAATAAATAAACCTTAAAAAAAAAAAAAAAAAGAATTTTAAGTCAAAAATCCAACCAGGAAAAAGGAAAATCTCACAAAAGGTTAAATGGCTGAAATGCTTTGGCAGGGAGGGAAGGGTCTTTGCTTATCTATCATGATTATCTTTGCCCCACAAAGGCAGGAAAGAGCCAGAAGTTCTGGAGAGCACCACTGCTTACGCCTGAGAGGCTGCGACTGCAAAGGGGGTGCATTTCTCTTTTTTGAAGCATATAGAAAGAAGAATGGAAATCCTCTGTTTTCTTTCATTTTAAAGTAATATTTGTTTATCTATACATTAGAGCTTAATAAATAGTACATAAAGGGGAGAGCTGAACAATATATCAGCCTTTAAAAGAAATTTCGGCATTCTCCTCCTCTGAGAGCAGAGGTGGGCAATGATAGATCGTTCCTTCTGAGCTGGTCGGACTGAGTTAAGTGAGAGTCAGAGGCATCTTAGGATACAGCGGCAGTGCACTGGCGTTGGGGCGGGAATCTGAAATCCTCAAGAGAGTAAAGCCAACAGAACACCTCAGAGATACATGACATTTAATAGATACATGTTTCCTTCAACTTTCATCTTCATTCCTCTTGATTTTTATCATTGATGCATATCATTGTACCATTTTGTTGTTGATAATTAGGTTTTTCTGTAAATGTGTCTTAACCACATCTTGATCACACATGAATGTGTAAAATTACAAATGACTAAGGAACTAGATTGCCAAGTCACCATTACCAATGTCTAGCACTGTTTCTTCGTTTGGGTTAAAGAAAAATTTTAAGAAATACCTTATTAGGACTTACTTCCAACATCAGACACATCTGGTAAGAGGCAAAGAAGCATTACAGGAAGTTTGCACCACACACCATTTGGGTAAGTTTCTTATTTTATACAATCTGCAGGAGAAATCTTATAACTCTTTTCATGCCACCTATTTCCTCACATCAGTTTGGCACCCACTTGTAGAGGCTTTGACTATATGAAATAATGTCAGCCACCAACTTCTTGGTATGACACCAGCTTTGTTTTTGCTTTTGGGGCAATTACTAGGATGTCTTTGATATGTTATACATTGTTTTAACAAAATGGGTATTTCCTAACCTCCAAACCCTTTCTATCTGAGTTTTTATAACCAGTAAAACCATCTCAGTATAAAGATAAAACACTATCGGGCTTGCGAGTATAGGAATTTACATTTACAAACTAAAAATATGGCATATTGTTAAAAAAAATATATATATATATATAACTACTTTTAGAACTAGTAACCTGCAGAGTTTGTTTGTTAGTTCAGAAGCCATCCTCTAATTAAAAGAAAAGTAAAACCAGCTGTAATCAGAAATAAAACTATCAAGATGAGGATTTTATAGCTAGAACATGGTTTTCATGTGACATCTCAGGCAGGAGGCACCCTGAAAAGTTCTGTTTTTAGGCAATCCATCAGATAAGACCCACCCGCTAGCTTTCCTGAAGCCTACCAGCCCACCAGCCCCGCCAGCCCAAATTTCTATGCACCAGACACTGTGCCAAGCACGCATGTGCATGCACGCACACAAATCAAAAACGAGGAACAAAAACCACCCAACGTCCAGAGTACATGGGGGAAATTGTTCCGTAAAGATAAGAACAGGATATTATGAGACTCTAATACAATAGAAGGAGAACCTACCTAAATCTACATGATGAAAGTGGAAAAGCTCCTACTCACAGTAACTTAGAATTTGAAGATGACAGTGAAGGTCTGGGAGGACGGTGGGTGGCTGGGTGGCGGGAGGGGAAGCAGCCCATCTCAGCGGGAAACAACAACAGTAACAATAAAAACGACGGCTGCAGGCCATGAGAAGACAGCCCACTCGGGGGAGAATCTGGAGCATGCAGTACAAATATGGTGGGTTATGGGAACTTTGAGGGCCTCCGGTCCCAAATCAGATGAAATTCAGGTTAAAACAATCCCTTTAAATGCGTAAATGAGATTACAAGAAAGGGGATTCCAGGAGACAGAAATGAGGAGGAACCTCAAAAACAGAAATTAGCAGACAAAGACGAGTTTTCCTCCCAGGAACCTCAGAGCAGGGTTTAATCTGGACACCGGACCAGGAGACTGGCCACGAGAAGAGATGCAAAGTCACGCAGTGAACTTCGGAGGGCTGCCTCCTCAGTAAGGGCGGTAAAAGATAAAACTCCTATGACTTGAAAAGGACACAGTGAAGCTTGGCTTTCTCCTACTGGAATTTGGGGAGGAAGAAGCAAATGAAAAATCTGAAACTTAGAATCTCTGGGATTCTCACAGATAAAAACAGAAGAAAACAAAACAAGCTCAACGAAGATGAACTCACAGTAAAATAAATAGACAGATTTACAAAACCAAAAGGAAATAATCAACATGAATGAATATATGCAAATTGGACAGCCAGGGGTTAAAGCACCAAGAGCTGAGGAAAATCATTATCAAACTGAAGGATTATATAAAGTAGATACTGGTGTTAGGACAACTGAGTAAAAATCCAGGAAAGGACAATGTTGGATCCATGTTACATACCAGGACAAATGTCACATAGATCAAAGATTTAAATGTATAAGCAATAAGTCATAAAAGAACTAGAAAAAAATGGGGAGGTATTTTTAAAAATTATGATTCAAATTCAGAAGTCATAAAAGAAATAACATATTTGATCTTCATGGCAAACGACTAAAAAAGTGGGATAATCCCAAGGCCTAATCTCTATTTTCCTATACTTTGAAGGAAAATAAGACAATAGGAAAAAATGGAAAAGACATAAAAGCAAGAGATCACAGAAATTACCCTTATATATATGAAAAGATAAAATGCATTCTCACTCATAATAAAAATAGAAAATTAAATTATACTGAAACATCACTCTTCATCTACCAAAACAACAACAAAAACCCTGGAAAGTTTGACCATACCCTCTGTTGGCAAGCTTTGAGGAAATATCCAGGTGTATTACCCGTTAGGATCACGTGGTGTAGCTCTCACAGAGGGTGAACTGCAATACTTATCAAAATTAAAATGCATTTAGCCTTTTGAGCTAGCAATCCCACTTCTAGGAATTCATCCTGTAGATACACTTGCACATGTATGTAACAACACGTATATGGGATGTTCACCACAGTACAACTTGCGAAAGACCAGAAACAACTTGTGCTTGTCCATGGGAAGCAACTAAACAAACTATACAGTGTATTCACAGAACACTGTACCATTGTAAGACTCTGGAAAGCTCTCCAAGATGCATTGTTAAAAAAAAAAAAAAGTTAAAAAAGACAAGGTGCAGAATGTGTATCATATACTAACTCTATGTAAGAAAAATGGACAAAATAAGCATATTGCTTATTTTTTGCATCAACAAATACGGGAATGATATGTAAGAAACTAATAAAAGTGAACCTGCAGGAGAGGAGAGGGTCAGGGGTTTCTATGTATATTTTCACACTGATTTAGTTTTTAAGCAATGGGAATGTATTACCAATTACAAACTTAAAAAAATAACTCAGCAGGTTTACAGAGCAGTGCTTGCCAGGGGCTAGCGCAGGGAAGGTCATGAGAAAATTAAGGAATGAATTAGCTCTATGTCATCATTGTAATAGTGGTTATATAACTAGATGTGTTTTTCAAACTCATAGAACTATACACTTAAAAAAGGATAAATTCAACTCTTTGTAAATTATATCTCAAAAAATCTAAGCAAAAGAAATCAGTAGTTTTAAGAGATTGAAAATATAAAAGAAATCAAAACCCTAAAACACAAGATACTATTAAAAAAGTAGATTTGAAAAGTAACCAAATAGAACCTACAGAAATTAAAAATATAGCTGACACAATTTAAAACGTAGTGATAAGTTAAACATTTCAGATCAGACTTATCTGAAAGAGAACCAGTAAACTGGAAATATATCTGAGAAAATTACACAACACAGTAGAGAGAGAGGAAGAAGTGGAAAAGGAGAAGTTAAGAGACATGATGATAAAGTGTGAAGCTCTAACAAACCTACCTGTAAATAGAGTTCCAAAGGCCGAAAGATAGAAGAGGAAGAGGGAATACTTGAAAAGATGGCTGAGAATTCTCCACAATTGACAAAGGAAATGAATTCTTAGACCTAGAAAGCATGATTCCCCCTCCCCCCAAAAAGAAAAGAAGCCAAGCAACAACGGAACAGCATTTTCAAAGGGCTGAGGCAACAGACTGGGTACTGAAAATTCTATACCCAGCTAAAGCTGTCATCACGCATTAAGGTAAACAAAAGATTTCCAGCCAAGGGCTGAGAGAATTTACTATGAAAGAATATGCTATTAGGAAGAACTGGATCCAGAAAGCAGTGAGAGGCAAGAAGCAGTGGTGAGCGAAGAAAATGAACAGCAACAATCATGACTAATTTAAGAGTATAAACACAAAGTAAAACTAAAAATCAGAAATTATATATAAGACAAAGGTAGATGTTGGGGCCCTGGCTGGATGGCTCAGTTGGTTTGAGTGTAATCCCAGACACCAAAAGGTTGTGGGTTTGATCCCTGGGCAGGGCACATACCTAAGTTGCAGGTTTGAGCCTCAGTTAGGGTGTGTACAGGAGGCAACCAACCAATGTTTTTCTCTCACAGTGCTGTCTCTATCTTGCTTTCTAAAGTCAATTTAAAAAAAAACATATCCTTAGGTAAGGATTAAAAAGAAGGTGGATGCTGGGAATTAGTATACAAAAGTTCTTGCATCATGAGGATGACAGGAAGTAAAATTAACTTCAGAGCTTATTAAATATCCATACTAAGATTTAATGGTAACTACCCAAATTAACAGAAATAAAAAACAAAACTTCAAAATTACTAGGGTGGGGGAAGGAGGAAGAATAAAGAAAAACCAGTAATATAAGTTAAAAGAAGAAAAAAGGCACAGTAAAGCAAAGCAAATTGAAAACTCAAGATAAGATGGTGGAAAACATTCAAATATCAGATATAATAAATGCAAACAACACTCACCAGTTAAAACCAGAAATCGTCATTGATTAAAAACACAAAAGTGGCATTATGCTAATACTTATAAGACACACGCTCACACCTAAAACCTAACAGCTAAAAAGAAAAGGACTGAAAAAAAAATTCTCAGACCTAAAGAAATCTGTAATAACACAATGAATATCAGAGCAAAACATACTTTAATGTCAAAAGCACCAGAGCATTATTAGGGAGAGAGCCACCGCCTGACGATAACTCATTGGGAAAACAAAATCATTGTGAACTAGCATTTGTGGAGGAATATAAACTCAAAGTTTGCAACACAAAAACTGACAGAATTAGAAAGCAGGGATGTTAACATAGCCCTGCCCAGTAATTGGCAGATTAAGTAGAGTAAAAATTAAGATATAGATTTTTTTCATGGTTTTAAAGTTTAAAAAAAATGTTATATATATCAAAGGTTAAACACATACAAAAGTAGACAAAACAGTATACAGAACCTAAAGTGTCTAACACTCAGCTTCCACAGAGATCTTGTTGACCCCATGGCCAATCTTGTCTTATCTATATCCCGCCCATTCCCCCCAAATCTCTGTTATTTTGAAGGTATCTTCAGACATCATTTCACTCAAAAGATACAGAATATCTAACAACATTATTAAGCTTAATCAAACAAACAACTGCAGAATACATGACATGTTAGAAATTGTATTTTCTTTTTAAATTACACACAGAACAGTTATTTTAAAAAGTGACCAAGTTACAAAGCCAATCTCAACAACATTAAAGATGCAAGATCAGACATAGTAACAAAACAGTAACATAAGGGACCAGAATAATTTTTCAAGTATCTTAGGCAGTTATTCCAAATGCTAGTGGTGCACTAGCATCACTCCAGAAGCATATTACAATACACATTCCAGACCTCATCCCAGACCGACTGAATGGGGGGGCCACTGCTTTGCATATATAACATGAGAATCTATCAACACTGAGTCAACTTGTCAGCAGCAGTAAGAAAGTAGACACATCAAAATATTGCCAAGCCCATGCACTTAAGTTATATTTCATATAAGAAACCACATAAGAGTTAGTTTTCTACAAGAGTCATAAATTTATTTATTCAAGAAAGTGCCTAACAAACGGTGATACAAGTGTCTCTGACTAAATGCAAATGAGGTTTACATCGTGGTTTAAATCTCTTCTCAGAAACCATCAAGGTGTTTATACCGGCATGTTTCTCACTTTAAAAACACGACAACTTTCAGTTGTGTATGATCACAGCTTTAATTACTTATGTACATATCCAAGTTCAAATAAGACATTTGCAGACCCAAGCATTGGCCAGGGAAATACTGAGAGACTGGAAAATTCCAAATTTTCAAATTAATATAACTGCATTAACACATAATTCCTTCAGTTTTAATATCTGTAGAATGGGAGCAAAAACATACCTCAGAGGGGTATATGAATTAAGTGAGATACTGAATTAAATGAGAATAAAGCTCTTCTGAGCTGCACATTCAGGGCAAAAAGCTGAGTTTACCCATTGATTTGACCCAGCTTGTCACCACACCAATTCCCTGGGTTTCAAGTCCTGAAGATTAAGCTTGAGGTCAGGAGATCATCTTGTTAGAAGCTTCTTGTTAGAAGTATGGCATCTAACACATCACAGGCTCTTGATAGACATTGGCTACCTGAATGCTTGGACATGGCCAGTATCTATCTATTCATTAGAAGTAGAGTGGGGACTACAGCCCTGGGCTTCTGTCTATCAGCTCAGGTTTCTATCCTTTCTGTCACACCGGCTTCTCATCCTTTCTCTAAGGTTTGCTTCCAATGAAGTTGAAACTTTGTCAAGAAACATTTCTCTTGTTTACCAAATCTCAATTTATAATGCCTCTTTCTGATCCTTAATAGGTATATCACCCTTGAAGGCAGAAAGGTGAAAATAGTAAGTGATATCTTTTGGCTTAACAAAGGTAAGTAAATAATTAAGTTATTTGGAGATATGACCTATTAAATTAAGTTAATAATTTAATAGCTATTATTAAATTAATAATACCTAAAATGCAAATTAAAACCTCAAAGAGATACCACCTCACATCTGTCAGAATGGCTACCATGAATAAATCAACAAACATGTGCTCTCAAGGATGTGGAGAAAAGGAAGGCCTAGTGCACTGTTGATGGGATTGTAAATTGGTGCAGCCTCTATGGAAAACAGTATGGAGGGTCCTCAAAAGATTAAAAATGGAACTGCCTTATGACCCAGCAATTCTACTTCTGGGTATTTATCTGAAACCCAACACTAATTTGAAAAGACATGTGCATCACTATGTTCACTGCAGCATTATTCATAACAGCCCAGACATGGAAGCAACCTAAGTTTCCATCAATAGATAATCGGATAAAGAAGATGTGCTACATATATACAATGGAGTATTACTTGGCCATAAAGAAAAAAAAATGAAATCTTACTATTTGCAACAAAATGGATAGACCTGAAGGGTATTATGTTAAGTGAAATAAGTCAGGCAGAGAAAGGCAAGTACTATATCATTTCACTTAAATAAAATAATGAACAAATAGAACAAAAACAAACTCATAGATACAGAGAACAAATTGATGGTTGCCAGGTAGAGGTATGTTGGGTATATAGGTGAAAAGGCAAAAGGACTTAAGATGTGTAAATTGTCAGACTTAAAAACAGTCATGGAGATGTAAAGTATAGCACAGGGAATATAGTCAATAATATTGTGATAACCCTGTATGGTGTCAGATGGGTACTATGTCTAATCACTTCGTTACACACCTAAAAGTAACATAATATTGTATGTCAACTCTAATAAATTTTTAAAAATTAAACCTGTGGTACAAATTAGTGAAGATACTACATCTAATGTTAAGTATATTTTAAAGGGAGATTCCTGGCCACTGTGAATTGCGAACATCTTAGTTAGAGAAAATATTCTTTGAGCAGTGGGCCCTTTACATACATAGTGGCTATGTAGTCCGTTTCTAAGGTCAGCCCTGCTTTTAAAGCATAATCAAACATAGTTTTACTTACCCTACTGTCTCTGTATATATCAAATACAACTGTAAAAAAGAAACAACTCAAAGTTAATAACAAACTAGTATTTTCATGATCCAAGCCTCCTTTTGAAAATTAAAATGCCTTTATAATTAGTTACTCCAACAGCAGAATATAATTGACTTGGAGGACTTCATATTTCTCAGTCTCAAAACTTCAAACATGAAAAGAAATGCTGCAATATTTTATTTATATCATTTCACTTTCCCTTTCTCTACCCTCAGCCATAATCCCTTATACTTAAAAACTCAAACCAAACATAGAAATCATCTCAACTAGTTCACTATTATAAACGGATTCTATGTACTAGTAAAAGCAGTACCAATCACTGGGAATAGGGAATAAAATGAGTAAAATTTGTAGTAGGAAAGCATAAAATCTAGTTATGCTTATGGCATGACTAATCTTTTCTTAAAATCAAATCTGCCACAGAACCAGGCCTGGCAAGCAGCAAAAAGGTAAATCATAGCAGATATAATTTTAGTGTATAAACGCTCTCTCATACACAATATACTTTCAATTCATAAAAACAACTCACAAATGTTTATACTATATAACTGTTGCTACCTGATCATTCAAATAAAAAAATCTAGAAAGGATGATCAGTCATCTAGCTAATTTAGTCGTAATAACAGAAGCATTTTGTCCTCTGTATATAGAGACCTTTTGAAATGTCTAATAAAATTCTGAGAAAGAACTCGCTCAGTATTAAAAAGGGACTCTAATTAAATAAGATAAAATTAATATGCAAATTATCAGCAATACCAAATAATAATAATAATAATATAGTAAAATGCTTAATATAGTATCTCACATCCTGTTTTAAAATATGTGGCATTGTGAAATAAGGTTCATTAACATTATGTATTTCATTTCATTTACTTTTGTTTCACTGAGTCAATAAAAAATACTCACAGTCTTCATCTAAGAATTTATATTGTATGTGTTTCTTGAAGAAGTCTTGTATGCATCTGCAAATCTCTTCCTTTTGTTTAGAAATATGATCATAGTATTGTGTGTAGTCCCTCTGAGAAATAGCTGACAAGAAAATATTTTATATTCCGTTATTAGATAATATTTTCAAAAACATCAAAATATGATTTAAAAACTCTTCTTGAGAACCACTGAAGTTCATCAGAAGGCCAATAAGAATGTTAGTTGCAAAGGTTCATATGGATAGATGAATCCTGAAGTTCCATATTGCCATGCATTCTTACTTTAGAAATAATGGTTATTTTTATTCAATATAATGGAAAAAATTTAAAGTCATAAAACATGCCTATTATGTAAAAAAAAAATGAAAGGACCAATTTTAAACCTGCATACATAATCATTGTTTTTCTTTGATTTTTCCAATGAACTCTAAATAAATGGACATTCTTTTGCACTTTCTTTGGGAAAATATAAAATACTCCTTACCATACGTCTCCAATATTCATATTGTGTTTCATAGAAGCAGTCTAGTTTTCTTGTACATACATGCTACCTTGCCTTTACAAGCCTGATGTTTCAAACCATGGAAAAGTGAACACTCCTTTCTTCAGAGTGACTTGATGATATCATTCTAAATAAACTAAAGAAACTATTGTAGGAACTCTCTCAGTTTGCTCTAGACCTAGGAAAAAGTTCTTTGTTCTGAAAAAAGGGCTTCCACCCAATTTCTTAATCACATACAAATATGTTCCCTTCTTTAGCTGTAATTAAAGTGCAGCTTTTTCAGGAATATCTAACAACACGATAAATTTAAACACCCCAAGTTTCTTTTAGGTAAGCTAATAAATGTCAACATCACACTCAATAAATAAGTAGTGTTGATTTGATTCTATTCGATCACAGTTTTCTTGGTTTAAGATAAATTTTGGTTGATGGACAATGTGCAGACACAAAAAAAGAGCAAATTATCTTCAATACCTAATACTAATATTTAATAACTTGCTTCAATCATAGTAAACAAAATAACCTGAGAAAAAAGAAAATGAGTGGCTTTTAAAGTAATGTATTTATTTGTCCACATATTTTTCTCTTGCTAAAATAATAAAGTGTTCCAATAATAGAAAATAAAGGTTTAAAAACTTGGCTTTTTATGATGCTTAAAATAAACAGTGTATAGTTAGCAATACTTAGGAAAGTCCTAAAGACAAAGCAGGTACTATCAGCCATATTCAAAACTGGGTAGCATAAAGACCCTCAATTTCTTCTCCTGAATCCAGACAGGCATGATGAATCGACAATACCATGTTCTATGGAAACTGAAAATGGCCTCAGGATCCTTGTCAATATAGCATTTCAGAAAGTCAGTACCAACTGGTTAGAGGACGAATCTGAGATAAATAGTGATTGTTACCCCTGCCCTAATTACTAGAAATTTCTTTCCATCAAAAGCTTGTCTTCTTTCAACAATAACTTTCAAAGGTAAAAGAACTCACCAATAAGCTTGTTTTCCTTAACAAAACATCGGAATTCAGCGCCCGGAATTAGTTCACACCATTTTCGAAGAACAAGCTGTAGAAAGAGAAAAAAAAGGTACACAACTATGTAACAAGAGGATGTTTACTAGTCTAATAGACCATTTTATGCCCAGACTATGTCTTAACAATTGCCATTATTAAACGTGTTTTTTTTTTTTAAAGGAGGCATTAGAAAACATTAATGTGAGACGTAAGGAATACAGTTGTGAATCGATTAGTCTAATAAATAAAGGGAAACTGTGTTAAACTCTTTATGACAAAATGCACCTTTGTCATTTCTTTATCATTTTGAGAGGTCTCACATAATACAGAACCCCAAGGATGACGAGGTTAAATCTTATCACCGCTGGGCCACTTGTTGCCCTGTAATTCAGTTCTTCACTCAAGAATATAAAAAATACAATAATTTCAAGTTAACTACCTTATGCACCATTCTGTAATATGTACTCTGATAAAATTGTTATGGCCTATTACAAAGAATCATTATAACCCTTACATGATGTTGGCATTATTTTAAAATAAACCAATTCTATCCGTGGCCCAAGTATAGTATACTAAGTAATTAATTTCAGTAAGAAGACCCATTTATGACTTGGGCCCATAAAGAAGACCCAAGTCATAAATGGGTCTTCTTACTGAAATTAATTACTTAGTATACTATTCATATATTACTGAATTGCCTGCAATTTTATAAATAGAATAGCTGGCAAATGTATGCTTCTAAGTCTGTTTTTAAATTGGTCTTTTGAAGTGTTAACTGTAATAAATGGCTATTGTCTCCAGCCTCTTAAATCCTGGCATATCACCTTTTGCCCTTCAAACTTGTGAGATGGAACTTGAATTACTCTAGGTACCATTCCAAATGCCCCTGTGGGCTCCCTGCACATATCCTGTGCTTCCCATAGTTTCCTGTGCATGACGTTCTATAGCAAGCACACATATATCATGTGTGCTATGATAATTTGATATAAGTCTCTCATCCCTACTAAGCAGTAACTTCCCTAAGAGCAAGAAACTAATTCATCTCTGCGTTCCAACACAATTATGTAATACATGAAAGGTGTTTAAGAAATATTCGTCAAATAAAACAGTAAATATATAAAATAAGTAGGCACTAAAATTATGTATAAAATAATGTTTAATGAACTGGGGAAGTGCTCATACTATAAGTGGGGGAAAAAAACAGTATGCAAACAGCTTTATGAAGAGTGCACGAACATACACACACCCCCCTCATGAAAAGGGAGTTAAAGATCCAAAGGCTAACACTGAGGACATATCTGGGTAGTAGTTTCACATTTTCTTGTATTTTACATTTTTGATAATCTGTTTTTTAAATAAACTGTATGGTTAAAATATGTCTTAGAAATTTAAAATGTACTGATTTCTATTTTCATCATTGTGTATTCTTGGTCAAGCCTTGCATGTGTCAAATTTTTAAAAAGAACTTAATTATTATATAAAAAACCCCAAGCTAAAATATTAAACCGACATTATCTATTAAAAGCTGATACTGGCATATATTTATTTTTATGGCCATAGTTATTTTTATTTAAGCAAGAAAGAAATGAGCAATTGTTGCAGACTAATATTACATTTGTAGAAAATCTGCATAATCTTCATCAAAATAATGTTTTGGACAGGTACTGTACACATTTGTGGTTGACTAAAAAAATACAGAAGGATAAAAAGTGAATATTTCCAATCTATTCCCTTTGTCCTCCTCCTCAGAAGCAAGCGGTGCTCTCAATTTCTCATGTATCTTTCCAGAAGCTTTCTATAAATACGTGAGCATATGGTATATACATATATCTTTTTAAATACACACAGACAGGAGCACACAATACACATAATTCAGCTTGCAACTTTTTTTCATTTTAATTACTCTAAAAATATCACTTTCCTAGGCTTTTTGTATCCTTAGGAGTCCTGGAACGTCCCTCACAGATACTAAGAAACAGCTACACACACACACACACGCACGCACGCACGCACGCACGCACGCACACACGCACTGTGTACTATATAGTATATACATTTTTTCTCTATATATTCTATATGAAGAATATGTATTTTTCATTTGTATATTTCATAAATTTAAAAATTCAATGATCCTAAGTTCCCAGAGAAATTAATCAAAAAAATTTCATTCATTTCACTTAAGGATAGCAGTTCTCAACACTTCTTCATCTAGGTTTATCAACTTCATTGAGATTAAAAAAAAAAATTTTTTTTTAAAGTCTCTTACCTCATATTCCATACAAGGATCTGGGGAATCATCAGTACAATGGATAAATCTTTGAGGGGGGAAAAAAGGAAACTGAATCATTTTTTAATGGTGTCAGTTTATATACAAACATTACTTATATTTAACATGAGATCAGTTTTTACTAGAAGTATCCAGAAACAGACTACTTTGAATTCAATGAACATGTAGACTACTTGATGTTAGGCATTAGTCTAGGCACGCTGAAGTGTTGTTTCATTAGTTCTCAAAACAACAATATGAGCTACTATAATCTCCATTTTTCTGTCAAAAGACTAAAGAAAATAAGACCCAGGAAAGACCAAATTAGTGACCAAGCGAGGGCTATAATACAAACTGTCCTAACTTCAGGATTCCAAATGATGGCAGGGTGGCACTGCCGTTTTTCAGTTCTCACTGTGTTCTTTATGGAGGAATCAGAAGTGTCTATAGGAATTAACTCTGCCATCTAAAGTCACAAAGTTAATCTAACCCTCCTCCCATATACAATTTAAAAAATAGTTGATAGAACAAGTCACTACTCCGTTAAGTATATTGCTTCCTCCTCCAAGCTTCAGTCTCATGACCAATTTTTCATACTGTTTATTAAATGTCTATGCCAATCTATGCCAATGCCTGGCTAGGCACTGGGAATCCTAAAATGTAAGAGATCCTTGTCCTAGAGGTAGAGAAAGCTTAACAAGTAGATGAAGAATTTCAAAACACTGAAAATAATAAAAATACTCTGATAGCACAAAGGAAGGACTAATTAGCTCTTGTGATGGAGGAGGGGAAAGAGTAGTCAAGAAGGTATTCCATCACACAATGGAATACTATGCAGCAGAAAGAAAAGAGGAACTCCTACCTTTTGCTACAGCATGGATGGAACTGGAGACTCTTATGCTATTATGAAATAAGCCAGGTGTTGAAAGACAAATACCATTTGATCTCACTTATAAGAGGAATCAAATGAACAAAATAAACTAATGAGCAAAACAGAACCAGACACATGGAAACAGGGAACAGACTGACAGCTGCGAGAAGAAAGCAGGGGGAGGAGGGGAATGGTTGAAAGGAGGGGAAGGAACCAGTCAAAGAACACACGTGAATGACTCATGAACATGGACAACAGGTGTGAGGATGGACTGTGGGAGCGAGGGGTGGGCTGGACAGAGGAGAGCAAAGGGGGAAAAAATTGGGACAACTAATAAACAAGAATAAAAAAGTAAAAAAAAGAACTCTGAAATTGACAACAGAAAAAAGTAAAGGAAATTTTAAAAAATGAAGGCTTCATTCAACAGGAAGAGGAAGGTCTGCATTTAAGACAAAGGGAAGTGGTGCTAAGGCAGGGAAGGAAGTGAGAACAATCACACAGTATCACAAAACTACTGAAGGTCAGTACTGATGGAGTATAGAATGCAAGGGAAGAATTACCAAAAAATGAGGTTGGAGAGAAATTCTGGACAGTGAGTCATCTCCAGATGGTGATGGGTCTTGTTGGCCTACTGAGGGAGGTTGTACTTTATTATACCAACAATGGGGAGCTAGAAGAAATTTCTAAACATGGCACAAAGATCATTCCATTTAGGCTTTAGGAATATCACTATGGCAATGGTACTGGATAGCTTAGGGGAAAGGGTGGCACACTGGGAGGCAGACAGACCAGTTGGAAGCTTGTTAAAATAGTCCTGTGGAGAAATGAGATTTTTATTAAGGCAGTGGGAATGGAAAGAAAGAGGAGAAATAGTACATAGAGTATTTCAGAGGCAGAGTCAACATTACTTCGTGACTAACTTGAAAGTGAGAGGTGAGGGAAAAAGAGGCCTAGATGACTCTGGGTGCCTGGCTCTGATGACTAATGGCTTGAGAATGCCATTCAATAAGGCAGAGGAAAAGCAGGTGCCATGGGGTGAAGAAAAGATGGGATATAATTGTATTTGCATGTGTAAAGTTGGAGACATCCTGGGAGAACCCCATAGAGATGTCTAGTAAGCAACTGGAAACACAAAAAAGGGAGGAGCTGAAGTAATCATCACATGGGTAGAAGGAAGAACTAAAGTCAAGAAGGCAGGCAGTTTCTTAAAAAAAAAAAAAAAAGACAAAAAAGAAAGCAGAAGTGGTCACTTCAGGCAGATGGCAGAACCCTGGGGGATGCCAATTCAGAGTAAAACTTGAGTTAAGAGGCATTTTTATAAAAACAGTACACAAACAAAACAAAAATACCTTTACAGCTGTCTTAGGCAATTCACAAGTAAAACTGAGTTTTAAAAGATTTTAAATTTCCCTGAATGTCTGATTAGGCTGGAACTCTGTGTGATCACTTATCATTTAGACTACAAACAACAGCAATTCTAATTTATTTGGTTGGCCAAAATCCTCAGGAATAAGAATTTTTATTCTAATAATGGGGCACCGACTGATATAATCTGAATTGCAAAGAAAGGTACATGGAGGGTGCTTTGTTAAAGTGGGTTCTCTCTGTGTTCATGAATAGGCACCATATGAAGCATCTTGCATTTGCTACCTCATTGAATCCTTGCTATAATCTGATGAGAAATTGCTATTATTATTATCCACATTTATCACATTAGGATACCAAGGTGAGAAATCAAGTGAACGCACTAAACCACATGCTGCACCACTTCCCTCAAGTATGAAGGTCCTAGAGCCGCTAATAAAGCTCTCAGGTTTTCAATTAAAAAAAAAAAAATCCACAAACAGCAGCAGGCATTTAGGCTCAAGCAGCCCCACTATTAAAAAAGAAAAAAAAAGATATACCATTAACCAAATCTTATTTCTATAATATAACATGGCTTTTCCAAAAGAACAATTTGTGAAACTTCTGTTTTTATGGACTCAGCATACACTGGTGCTATTTTAAAACCTCATTTTTCTCTCTGGAAAGTAAAAATTGCTTGCTTCAAATCAAACTAATTTAAAGATATGTTACCCTGAGAAGTTATCATCTAACACCAAAAAACTAGTTTTACTTCACTTAAAATTTTTAAAACTAAAATTAATCTCATACATTGTTTCATGTTAATCAAAATTAAGGTTATAAACTGAGAGGTTAATAGTTATTTTTATTGATAAAAATAATTATCTGTTAAGTATTTTCTACCATTTAAGAAAACTATGTTTAGATACATGGCCTGTATAGAGGCAAGTGAAATATCCTGAATTTCTATATAAAGGAGAAGAGGAAAATGTTCTAATGAATACAAAAAACAACAGTAGAAGTTTAAAACATCAAAATCTGGATCCTGAGCTCTGTACTAGCATCATACGATCTTGGAAAAGTCAATGAACTTCTCTGGTTGGATCTTACTTGCCTCAGCAGTAAACAGGTGGATAGCCTCGGGTTATTTCTCCAGTTCTCTCTACAAATTTGTAGACAGTGTGCCACGCCTCCTTTTTCTCCCTTTCTGTCTTTATTTTTCAGGTAACCATCTGACCTGAATATTGAACCTTAAGATATGTCAGAATGCAAGACTGAAAATGAGTGCATATTTGAATGATCTGGGTTTGTTTTTTCAGAATACATTCCAAGAGATTCTACCCAATCCCATGGGTCCAAGATGGACACCAGACACATACATCTTGGGAAAGGTGATTTGGAGGAGTATCCGGTTCTTGGGAAAATGAATGAGATATCCATTGGCCAGTTAGGACTCTTGAGGATCTGCACCATTCTCGGGGAAACAAAGAAGCAAGGAAATGAGAGGAAGTATCAAGTCTGAATGGACAGGAGCCCAAGCATGGCCTTTAAATCAATGGCTTCAGCTAGAAACAGTCAGCCAGGTGTGCCTAAAATCCACTACAGTCACCACAGGATTTAGCAATTTTGTAGCTGCTATAAAGCAACCACTGCACAAAACCACAATGTCTGTGGCTAAATAAGGATCCAAAGTCCTGGATTATTTCAAAAGATTCTCTCACCTTTTCCTCCCTATTTTAATAGCCTAAACATTTTAATTAGTAAAAATGCTAATTACTTTGTAAATCTTATTATAAAAATTCATTTTATCCTTAAAACATTTTTCTTCAACCTCTTTTAAAATTCTGAGTGAAAAGATGAAAAATGTTTTAAAAATCTATATAGTATTATGAGGGATAAAATATGGAGCAGTGAAAGATTTTTCATGAGAGAAAAATGCTCACAATACAGTATACTTTTAAAACAAAAGGTCACAAAATTATACACAGTACAATTTCATTTTTTAAAACGTACATGGGAAAACAACACCATGATAATTATCAAAATGTTAACAGTGGTTCTTTTCCAGGAGTCACTGTTAATTTCTTCTGCAGCTTATCTGTACTATTTCCAACACTGTATTTATCAAACTGAACATATATTACTTTTATTTTGCCTTTGCCTTTTAAATTTAAGAAATTTAAAATACAAAAAAGTACAAAGTACATATGTGTTGCTTTTATAATAAGAAGCCAATTCAAGTTCACTTTAAAAGTTTAGCCCTGGCTGGAATGGTTCAGTGGACTGTGCGCTGGCCTGTGAACAAAAGGTCGCTGGTTCAATTCCCAGTCAGGGCACATGCCTGGGTGGTGGGCCAGGTCCCTGGCTAGGGGTGAGAGAGGGGCAACCGATTGATATAACTCCTGTATATTGATGTTTCTCTCCCTCTTTTTCTCCCTCCCTTCCCCTCTCTCTAAAAATAAATAAAGTAATAAAAGTTAATATTTTAGTCCTTCCCAGGTAGCTCAGTTGGTTACAGCACTGTCGCATAAACCAAAAGGTTGTGGGTTCGACCGTAGGTCAGAGCACGTACAGAGAGGCCACCAATTGATGTTTCTCTCTCTCAAATCAATAAACATATCCTTGGGTGAGGATTTTTTTTTAAAAAGTTAGTATTTTAGCTTCCAATCAACCAATAGTTCATAATCATGATAAAATTGATTGCCTATCTTTTAATGTATTTAAATGTATCTAAAGTAAGTGAGAGAAATGACAAAGGAATGCAAATAAACAATAATATTAATGTGGTAACAAAACTACTACCATTTTCATTTCTGAAATGTGATTTTAAACAG